TAGAAAATAAATAGTGACACCTTTATACCAAATCACTAAATCAGTTTCCTCATCAGAGTAAATAGAATATAAATCATATCAAGGAAGTTTAAATAAGCAAACATTTTGCAACAAGGTATGAAATTTCAGAGAAAAGTTGGTATATTCAAGAGTCAAGAAATTACATCATGCTAGCTTAAAAAAAAAAAAAAAGCTCTACAAATTCAAGACTACACCAAAAAAAAATTATGCATTTAAAAATAAAAAAAAAAGGGAAACACTGACTTTCCATTGTTTTTGTTTTTTAAATAGTTGGTTGTGCAAAGATTTTTAAATATTTCTGTTTGTATCCAAACATTTTTGTTGTTTATTGAATTGATAGTTTTTTGGCCTGTCAGTTCATGAGGTATTTCAAACAAGCACCATGATTTTTTTTCAAAACAAGCAGGAAGAAATATGGAACACGATGTTCATGTTCTATAAAACTTGGTAAATACCAGAAATTGTTTCTAATTGAATTCCTGCATACTTATTTCTTATACAGTGTAACCCGGATATAAGAGACCCGGATATAAGAGAAACCCGGATATAAGAGAGATTCATGAACAGCATATTTAAAAGCAGCATTTGCTGTTGTACAAGCGAGGAATATAACTTCATTTAACTACACATCTCCATCTAAACACTAAAATTCTATTTATTATTTATTTTTCTTCAACATAGGTTTACCTATCGCCCAGTTCACACTCCTCCCAATTCTTTTGAACAGGAGTAGAGAGTTATCCCTTGTTTCCTGTTTGGAACTGAGTTCCTTCTAAAGTATTTTCATTCCCTTTCACTCCATCTTAATGGCTTTATCACTTTGCTTGGGGTGAAATGTTCAAAACAAAGATATAAAAGGAAATGTGATACCACAATTATGGTGGCTTAGACACATGGCAAAAAGAAAATAGCCATAAAAATTTCTAAAATAAGGATTCTATCTACAGAACATCAATAAAAAAGAAATTTCCATAAAAAATATATTAAGTTACAAGAGTAAAAAAAAAAAACAAAAAAATACATAAAAAATGTGAATTCAATATTTCTGTAAAAATGCATGCAATATATGTCTGGTAAGTATCCATCCACTTTGAATATCTCAAGTACTGGTTGAGCAGCCTTGATGTATCTTGACAATCAGATGAGACCTTACAGTACATGCATGAACAGACACTCTCATATTGAAGCCTTTATTTTAGTTTTAATTTCAAACTAATAGATTAAATTTAATATTTCCATTAAGCAAAGTACTTTGCTGCATTTCAAAAACTAATTTAAATTCACTGGGTTTCATCACATTGTAATTAAAAAATTTTCTAAAACTAAAATGTACCTTTCTGAAACTTTGAGAAATATTAGCTGATTTAAAATATATTTAATCTGATTTGAAACAATATTTACTTTAACTTTATAATATTGCAGAAATTCATTTTTTTAACACAGTGGCAACTGTATATTTAAGCTGTTGACATGTTTGACAGAACATTGCTCCATGAAGGCATTAGCCATAAAAAATAATTAAGTATAACAAGAGCATCTTTAATGTATAATTTTGAAGTACTCAGTAATCTTATGTTTCATTGAATTTTAGATACTTTCTGGCCTTAAATTTACTATAGTTATTGCTCTGATTTTCTTATGTTATATATGAACTTCCATATCTCCAAAAATCTGCACCTTTATACACATACAAAAAAAAAAAATTCAAAATTCTTTAAAAAATGGTGCATGATGATTTGTACAATGCTTTTCCATTTATAATTAGTAAATATAGTCTTACTTATTAATAACATCATCTAAAAGAGTAAAATTAATACAGAATTTTAAAAGATTTAAAACTTAAATTATTCTAATTAAAATTTTTTATAAGTGAAAACAAGTTTTCATTATTCATCGAAAATTTTTTTTAAGACAACAGTTTCTTTAATATATTTTATTTATAAAAGCAATTAAAATCTTTACCAATTAAATAATATCATAGTTTTATTTCATTTTTTTTATTTTACAATTCAGAGAATATTTTCCGTAAATGGTGTTTCTGTTTGATAAAAACAAATGATTTAAGTTTTCCAGGGTGTCCTGCTTTTAACTAATATAAATATGAAGAGGGCAGAAATTTAATAAAATTAGTAAGTGGGGTTACAGATATAGAATTAAAATATCTTTACCAAGATTTTCTAAAACAAAATTTCAAAAATAGTTTCTTGCAGTTGAGAATAAGTCCTGAAAATTTCATTAAAATCTGACAATTATTTGATTTTTACAAGAATTTCCAAAACAATGTGTTTTTTTTTTTCTGAAAAAAAGCTAAATTTCCCATACTAATCTTTGGCTCACCATGCAAGAAAAACAAGATTTTTTTAATCAAAATTTTACATGTGCTAGAAAGGATTAAACAATTTAATAAAATAAAAATATACTTTGGTCTTTCCTCTTAACAAACATTTTCACAATAAAACTTTGTTTTTGATTAAGTTTCAGGCAGTTTTTCATCATCATATGCTAATTTTTGGCCAACTTTTGGAGATACCTGATTTAAATAAATTTTTTTTTTTTCGTCAAACAGAATCGCCAGTGACAGAAAATCTGCTCTGAATCATAAAATAAAAAATGCAATAAAACTAAGACATTATTTAATTAGAAAAGCTTTTAATTGCTTTTATGAATAAGATATATTATGGACACTATTACCTAAAAAAAATTTTTTTTTTGGATGAATAATGAATTTTTACAAAAATTGTTTTCATTTTTGAAAAATTTTAAATAATTCATAAATTACCTAAAATTCAATAAAAAATTAGATTACTTTGAATATTTTCCTAAATTTTTAAGATCACTGAGTAGTTAAAAAACTTATATAAAACGGCATTCACGTTGTATTCATATAATTTTTACAGTTATGTGCCCTTTACTTAAAAATGCCAAACATTATTGATAGATCTGTTCACACTTCATAAAAAACACCCACCTCTGTGTTAATAAAATGGTTCTCTGGGATAAATAATATTTGTTTTAATTCAGATTAATTAAACTTTAAATCAGTCCATCTTCCTAAAATAAAGTTTCAACAAAGTATATTTTTGAAAGATTTTTTAATAAAGAGAACTGTGCTGACAGATTTTTGTCAGTATGCCAATTTTAGTGATTTAAAAAAAAACAAAAAAACATTCCAATCAGTTTAATTTCGATTTGAAACTCAACAAAGTATTTTGCTTATTGGAAATATTAAATTTAAACTATTATCTTGGAATTAAAACTAAAATAAAAGCTTAAAAAAATATGTTGCATTTTAAAAATACATTTTAACATTAGAGATCCATTTTGGTGTTGGATGGATACCTACATAAAATATTTAAATTTAAAAAGAGAAAAAATTAAAGCAAAAGAAAACTGAAAATTATTTTAAAACAAAAATGAAATTTTGTTAAAAGGCTACTTTTATTTAACGGGTGGAGGATTTTTTTTTTAAATTTTTAATAAATTATCATTTTATTGTCCCGGAAACAAAATAAAAAAAATAAAAGAAAACTTTAGAAAGTTGTCTGCTACCCAAAAGTGAAACAGTCACCTAAAGAAAAAAAAATCTATCAAATTCAAAACAAATGACTTTTTTGAGTTTTTAACACAAAACTTTTTTTTTTTTTTTTTTTTAACTAGAGTCGTTTTAATTTTAGGAAAATAATTAAAGCGTGCATATATTTTATCAATTTATTGTTTTTAGATGAGTTTAATATTCGAAGAGTTCTAAAAAGTGACAAAAATATTATTTTTCCGCATTTTACAATTTCGACCGGTCTATTCAACGGCCTTCCACAAGTGTACAGACAGATAGTATGAGTGTGGTGTGGGGTATCTATCTTTTTGTAATCGTTCTAAAAGTTTGGGTGGAAAATACCGCCAGAAAAAAAAAATGTTTCAGGACGGTGTCCAGATGAAGGCCGTAGTAGGAGTCAGCCGAAACGTTGTTTGTACCAACAATAATGGCAACAGCACTTAAGTTTTTAAAAGAAAACAACCTTCCTTGGGTAAGCCATAGAAAGAAAATAGTTTGAATTTAAAAAAGAACAAGGAAAATATACAGACACCAGCCAGTTATAACAAATATTGGATTTTTTAAGAAAAAGAAAAAAAAGCTTACACAAAAGTTGGAAGAAAATTAATAATAGATAATTCTACAAAAAAAAAAAAAAAAACAAACGCTTAAAAAAATAATTGCTTAATCCTTATTTTCTCATTAACTTCGGTCGGACACATTTTTAATCTAACAGCCCCCCTCCTTAAATAATAAATAAAGAAAAAAAGACATTTTAATTGTTAAATCCCAAGTTTGATTTGTTGAGAGAAATAGAATAAGAAAATAGTTTTTTGTTTCTTTTTTTTAATATTGAAGGGAACAGAATAATGATCAAATTTTATTTTGAATTTAGCAAGTAAATAAACAGACAGGAGAGTCATTGTCAACAATTATTTTTTCTTTTGGCAGCTTGGGTGAATTTTTATATGAACAAATCAAAGAATTAAGAATAAACATATTTTTTAAATTTTTAAAATAAGCATTTTTGACTTTGTGTTTTTTTTTTTTTTTCATTATTCATCAAATATAAAAACGGCTTTTCTTGACAGGCGTGATAAAAATCTCAAATAATTAACAAACAGTAACACGCAGTAAATTAATAAATAAAAAGATTAAATAAAACTAAAAGCTTTTTCTTTTTCCTGGTAATTTAAATTTAAAGTTCTGTAGAAAAGATAGAAGATCAATTTTATGATGAACACGATATCGTAAATTGTCCTGTAAGAAAGGTTTTCAGATTTATACTTCGTTTCTGCTTTTAAATTTGCTTTATATTTCTATTGTAAACTACGAAATGGGATAAAAAGACTTTTTTTTTTTTGCGATTATTTTTCTTCTTTACAGAAATATTTTTTTTGCGGAATAATATTTTCTTTTTTTAACAAAACAAGGAGAGGAAACTTACGCTTTTCTTTTCCTTCCCGAGTTCATCAGTATATCTCTGGATTAGTCGAAGAATAAATGAATTTTAACAAAATCTAAAATAATTTATATTTGCTTATTACTAATTATTAATGATAAAGAACTTCATTAATTCCTTAAATAAAATAAAGTTTAAGAAGTCGTTATTAATTACCAAATGACAACCACTTGACAACGCCTTAATTAACTTTTTTTTTTACACGATGGACACATCAGCACTTTTAAAGCTAATCGTATGTTTCATGCAGGGAGAGATTACTAAACTTACGAAAGGGGGAATAAACAAGTAAAAATCTAAGCAGGATAAAAAAAAAAAAAAAAAACAGTATTTTTTCTTTTTCTGTCCTAAATCAAATATCGTCACTTCTCTGCTAATGCATATCAGCCATTTTGGGTCACATGACTCGCACTTTGATGACGTCATTCGCGCCAAATTTTCTGATTTATTTGAAAATTAAATTAAGCTAAACAACATTTTTAGCTCAAGTAATCATTAGAATTTGTTCTTTCTTTTATTTCATTTTTTTTTTTTTTCAATTTAATTCTATATGTAAAGTATTTCGCTTGCGGAAACGATAGTTATATTTTTAAACTTCACCAAATTGAACAGAACTGACTTTTAAATTAACTATTGTTGACATTTTTTATGATTATAGAAAAATGAAAACAATTTTGAAAAAAGAATAAAAAAAAATCATGAAACGTCTTTTTATAAGTTGATAGCTCCATTTTTATGAAGATCAATTTTAGTCATCTTTCTTTCTTTCTTTCTTTACCTGAGTAATTACAATCAATGCAAAAATTTGTAGTAATCAAAATTTAATAATTTAAATAGTAAAAGGATTATTAAGAAGGAAAGGAGAAGAGAGAATGTCAAGCCTCTTCTTATCCCAGGTATTTTGAATGGTACTAGTTATGTGTGTGTTCATTGTGCATATATCTTTTGATACTATTAATGATTCAAAAAAACAATGAAACTCCAAATGTGAAACAACAAGTATATATTGAAATAACATACAAAAACAAAATATACAATAATTTGTATTCAATGTATAGATTAAGGGAAAAGTTAAACGTTTCCTCACTCACTCTCTTTCTCCTTTTTGCTCCAAGAGGTAAAACTACATGGTAAATTATATTCCCATTGAAAATGTTATCTTCTCTGATCCACTGAACTCTCTTCCCGACACAGGGTGCTTGCACATGTCTTCCAAAACTTCAGTCTATGAACTAAGTGAAGCTTTCTCATTGGTTGTTCCAACTCAGCACAAGGCTAACTTGAGTGCAACCATTGTATCAATGCTTATACTGACTTACCCTAACTTCTGGACCAAGAAAGAGAAAATGGACATCCCATAATCATGTTTAAACTTTCTAACAATAAAGTAATTGTAAACATTCCTTTGGCTGTTCCAACTCTGTGCAAGGCTGACTTGAGCTCAAAAATGAATATGATGCTTATACTGACTTAACCTAACTTCTGAACCAAAAAGAAAATGTACTTACCCAAGAAACAATGACAACTTTGTTTCACTATAGTCATCATAAAAAAGAATAAATAGTCCATAGTAGAAACCCATGCTTTGTATGCTTCTTCTTTATCATATATAAACACATACACACGTAAAATACATACAGTCAACCTTTGTAAATTCTATACTTTCATACATTCAACTGTTGAAAAGAATTGAGAAGAAAGACATCTCACAATTGTTGCTGGATTTCTGGTTTAATTTCTTTTTAGACAATAATTCAGGTTTCTAAACTAAGATTTGAAAATGGGTTAGGGTTCATAAATTTAGAATCAGGGTCAATACTTTTAATTTATGTGTCAAACTTCCACAAATGAGTATAGAAATATAATTTTTGTTTTAGCCTTCATCAGGTCTATATTGATCCAGGTAACCTACCAGGAATTCTAAACTAAACTTTTCATTTAATCTACAATGGTAAACTGTTCTCGTTCTACTGCCCATGTCTAGGAATATATTGTCTAGTTCTTATCATACTATTCAGTTATTGCTTGCCCTGTTCCCACTGAGTTCAAGTACGCACTACCTGGTCCAGGGATTGAACTTATGAGTTCAATCCCTGGACCAGGTAGTGCATAAACTACTACTAAACCAAATTTAGTGCATAAATTACTACTAAACCAAATTCACAAGCCAAAGCTTTAATATAATACATTATTGTAGGACAATTTTCTGTAGAGAACTTGGAGCCTTAAACCTAACCTAGCTTCTGATGAGTGCTTCTGCTGTTGCTTGTCACATTTGACTGCACTCACAGAATAGGTATAACTATATTGTTATAGCCATTGATACTGTTGAAGATATGCTGTCATTTGTCTTTCTTTCTTTTAGCAGCTTCCATATTGTATAACTCGATTATGATATGGTGCAACATTACTAAGGAACACATTCCAAAGATAAGGAAGCTAATGGCCTGTTCCATAGATCATTGGTTCATCTTTAGATAAATCCCTGATGTCCCTTGGGGAAGTTAGTTTTGTAGTCCTGTAGAGAGATGGTGAATAAATGAGTGGTCTTGCCCTGAAAAATGCTTGAATTCTTTCTTTGTCCAATCAGCAAGCAGAGGTGATATTTTAAAGGTTTTATTTGCCTCCTCTGTACCAGGGTCACTCCTTAAGACTTTCAAAAGACATGAGAAATTTGCTGGATCCTCTACACTTCTCTTACTTGGTTGGTTCTACATTTCAAAAGTTGTGGAGGACCTTCATCTTTTTCAGTCCCCATAATTGCAAGTTTTTTTTTCTGTTTAATATGCCCAAGTCAATACAGCACATCTACAAATCTACTATTTGTCTATGCATGGAATACTGTTGCCATATATGGCCTGGTGCTCTTGCTGTTCATCTCGAGGTTCTCAACAAAATCCAAAGATGGCTATACAACGTGGGGTCTCGACTCCAGTCACTTTCTCATCAACATAATAACATTCAGTTGCCTTGATTCCTGTTCTTTTTATCTTTTCCTCACCCAGCTCATACTCAGTCTTTTCTCTTACTTTCACTCTCTGTAATTCTTTGCATACTAGTGGCACTCCCACCTTTCTTAGGGTAAAATGCTTTAAAAAAAAAAGGGGGGGTTTGTACTTTATATTTGTATGCACTGGTTGTCTTTAATGCTTTCCACCATGTAGCAGGAAACCTGGGATTCTGTAGGACAAACATTGGAAACACACTCGCAATGGATTCTGGTTCAGTATGCACTGATGTGACCTGCATTGAGTGCAAAAGCCTACTGACTTCTCAACGAACACTTGCCCTTTTTATATGTTCTTGCCAAGCCAGAGAATTTACATAGTGAGCACACTGCCAGCATCTATCTGACTCAATGACGCATGTGCCTCATCATTTCAGTGCCAATGCTCAGATGGTTTGACTCACTAGCAAATCGCACATCTTATACACAGATTTAGGCTAGGTTACTCTAGCCCTCTTGGATCTTTGAGGCAATTATCCAGCACACACACACACACCAATGAATTCTTTTGTTTTTTATAAGAGGATCTGGTGAAGGATGTGGAACTTTTTTAGAAAGAGGGGGAGAATTTGTTTTGGAAGGAGTTTGTAGTGGATTTAGGAAGGCTGCGTGAATATTTAAGATTGTGCTGCAAATAAAATATGCAATATCCACAAACATAAATTATAAGAAATGGCCAAATGGTAACGATATTCAATCACGACAAAAAATACATGTTTGAAACAAGAGATTAAATTTTATATACACAATTTACAATTTCTATTTGTAATGATGTGTGCAAAGGTATAGAAATTTTGGAAATGTTCAATGTCTAAAAAGTTGTCTGCCTTTGATTGAAAGGTTGAATTTAACTTAGACAAAAGATTTTTCTATGAAAGATATTAAGTAAAAAAGTTTGTTGTATGAATTTTTCTAATCTCTATTAAAAAAAGTTTGTTTCTTTTGACACATAATTCCCATGCGTATCCTTGTGTGAGTCTCAAAATGCAATGAAAATTTGTTTGCTGTTTCTATTTATAGTTTTTTTTAACAACAAAATGGGCTCCAGCGGTTTGGTAGCTTGTTGCAAATTTTTCTGAGAAATGCATGGGCAAATGTTGTATTTTTTAGCCAATAGGATTTCTTGAAACATTTAAATTAGGGATGAATTTGAGAAAGATTTTTTTTTATGTAAGTTGAGACTATTTTTGCACAAATTTTGTCTGTTTTGATATGGAAATTTCTCAAAGCTTATTTTTACTTAACAACCAATGAAATTCAAGAAAATGTTTAAAAATTGAAATGAGGGTTACTAAAAGTTTGTAAAGACAGATATGGGGTGACAAATAGGTATAGTATGTATTACAGAAAATATATTCCAGCCTGTTTGGAACAAACAGCTTACATACAGACAGTGAAGACATTTAGTAAATACGCAAAAATAGAAAGAAGTGTACAAGGATGTGCTTTCTTACCAGATTTATTTAACTTCTACACAGTAGCAAGAAGGAGGGGCAGAGGGTACAAAGAGTGAAATAAAAATTTAGTTTATATTTAATTTAAATACATTGTTTATTTTATGTTTCAGCCATTTTTACAATGTTTTCCTTTCTCACATCTCTCAGTACCTGTAGGCCCCCTACTTAAGTCTTAGGGGCATAAAATCAAGGAGTTAGCCCCAGGCATCATCAAAACCTCTGTATGTCAACCAGAATTTATTATCAGCAGACATAGCCTCAGGTAATAGATTCAGAACAAAAACAAAGTATTATTAGTCAAGGAGAACAAGAAGAAAGAACTATCAAAAGACAGACTGCACACTTGTCAGCAAAAGAGACAGTACTAGTTGCGAGTTACATATCGGGGACATCAACATCAAACATATGCTATCGGGTTAGTGTAGTAACAGACAACAGAAAGTGTGAAACTAAAACCCAAAGGCACCTAGGAATAGCTTTTCAGAAGCTAAGCAAAGTATTAAGGGATCTGAAAATATCCTCAGAAACAAAGAAAAGTAACTGACTG